GGAGACGCGGTGGGGAATAAAACGATCTCGATGGGACTCGAACCCACAGTCTTTGGTTACGAATACCAACGCCTTATCCATTAGGCCACGATAGCATTACCAACATAAAGAATCGTTCCGAACAAGACAATATTGGACCGCGGACAAGAGCAATACGGTTAAGGATTTTGAGATATTGCTGAGTGGGAGAAGGTAAATGAACAAGATAAGATTGCCTCCGAGGAGAACCTGGTCTTTTTGGCAGCCCCCCAGAAAATGTAAACGAAGCAATGAGATGCTCATGAGCGATCTACCACATGACACGAAAGTTTGGTGTAATGTGAAGCCTCGCTTTTTTCGTGACGAAACTAGCGAGCCTTCGGACACCTGCCAGAATATGCTTCAGTAGGAGTCCCATTCACGGACAGTGTGAAGGCATTTATGGTGTCGTTGTAGGGAATCCTACCCCATTCGGTCACATTGAAGTCCATAAAGTCAGCGAAGGAAGTCAAGTTTGCATTAGTGGTATTGATGAATAGTGTGGTAGTATTAGCATCAACTGTCCAAGGAATGGTACCAGTCACGTAAACGCCCGCCTCCCCTCCCTGATTGGAGAAGAAGAGCATCTCGAGCAAGTCTGGAGCGTACGTGTGGAAGAAGATAGTCGTCGTGAAGTTCACGTTCGGGACGGTGCAGTACTCCGAGCTGGGTGGGAAGCACTGAACCATCGATGAAATGCCCAGAATGGCGATGATCGCCTTGAAGAAGGACATTGGGATAGAGTGAACGCGAGACACTCGAACACTTAACTGACTTGAATGGTTCTCTCTTAAGTTGTCAGCAGATGAAGGGATGACCCCCTCGAATTGCTAGCGGAACTTTCGCTAACAATTTGAGAGGAAGACATCGCTAATACCATATATGATGAGTTCTATAATGGTGACGCATCCGAGCTCATATACACAGCTGCGATAAATGCTCTATTATGTAACAGAGCAGTCCTCCCCATAGGGGAGTCCCCAAAATAGGGTCTCTCGCGGTACCCGGTCACTTCTGTGCACTCTATCGTGCCGTATGATAGAGTGCGTAGGAAACTACCACAACGTAGAGATGACTCAATACCAGAAGCCTTCTGGCAGAAGGTCAGGTTACAATTCCACGTTACCTGATTTGCAACTTAAGAAATACCATAGATCAATCCAAGGAGCACATGAACCGAAGTATCAGGGTATACACGTACACTGCGTGAAGTTAACGGTCACGGGTGATGGCGTGAGCGGTATATCGTCTGATCGATCTCCTGAAGCTTGCTGCCCGTACGAGCTATATCGCTGTGATTTGAATCAACTTCATTCAGGCGTTCGACCTCCTTACGATAAGTACCTCATCATCCTATACTTTTACCACGATGGTTCCATGAAGGTAGTGTGCCTTGTACCAGCATAATGTTCAGCATTCGCCATGTGCATGCGTGCAGCCGTTGGTGCGTGGGCTGACTTCGGCCACCGCGTGACACGGCAGGGTGACCTCTCGCCAGCTGCACATGCGTGCGGGTCTCCTCCGGCCCCCGAGAGTTTTGCTTCGTTACACACCTGTATCGTCCAATAAGCGTCTCCTGGCAGTCCTTAGACTTTTCACGCTCCTTAAGGAATGTTGCATACTGGTTCTGCTATAGATAAACTGATTCATATTTCCTTGAAAGGGATGCAAGGACCACTAGTGTTGAACGAGTTGTGATATTGACCTGATATACCTTATATGGTATGAGATAAGCGTTCCCGAGTTCGAACCCCACGGGAAACAAATCGGGTAAAAGAGATTCTGAAGGAAGCAGCCAAGCGTAGAAGATTGATTATTGTTACCTATTGGTGAGATACAAAATGGGTTATGGACTAGGTACACTGTGGTCTTCGTAAAGACGGGTGACACGACCCGAATTTGAGTACCAGATGAGGGAAAGCTGAGAAAGATTTCATTGAACGATTACAGACTGTAATCCACAGTAAGGCATGTAACTCAACCTGTTTCGTATCCTACCGGTATCGACCTGTTTTGTATCCTATCGGAATCGACCTGTTTCGTATCTTATCGGGATCGGTCTGTTTCGTATCTTATCGGGATCGGTCTGTTTCGTCTCGCAACGGCTCGACCTGTGTCGTGTCTTGGGATTTGAGACTATAGTCTGTCTGTATTCAATTTGATCCTGAAGTGACGTGCTCAGAAGGCAGATTCTGTCAGTGACAGCGACAACAGTGCACTGTTTGCTTGCTCGTTACCTTTCGTATTCAACTACATCCTCGTCACGAGGACCTTGTGTAACCAACGCGATAGCTGAGATTGGAGATGGTAAGAGAGAGTATGTTTTGCAAAACTCTTCCCCTATTTTGCCTTAAGACGGTAAGGAACTTGAGAGACTAAGGTTAGATCGTTTCACTCACAAATATGTAGGGGCAAGAATCTTCACCCCATCCCGCGTGTCCATCCTGCACCACCTGAGGTGGTCCACCTCACTCAGAGAGGGGTAAACGGGAGAGGGGTGGCCACTAGATGCCGTCGCCCCTCTCGTGCTGACGTCCCCATCCGTTTCCCCTCTTTTGCCCGTATTCTATCCTCGCCGTGGGTAAGGGGACTCCAGGAATCTGAGATACCGCCCCCCCCCATTTTACTCAAGTTACTCAAGACTCTTGAGTAACTCAAGTAGTCTCTCGATTCTTGAGTCAAGAGACTCACCCTTGAGGTAGGAACGCTCAAGATCAAACGCTAGTTTCTTAATATCAATGAGTAAGAGGGTTAGTTTGTTTCACTAACCCACCTTCTTAAGGTCGCACTTGAGATTTCGATAAGGCCCGACCGATGACCCTCACCTTGGCCTCAACTCGCGAAATTTCAAAACTTACCTCACTGCGCTCAACCGAAATTAACCAGCGCGCGCCTCAGAGCTCGTGAGCATGATTCCGGGGGGAAGAAATTCCGTGCCTCCACCTTCAACGGAAACTAGTACAAACCGAGCCGCCCTTTGATGGAAACACATCTAGCTTCTGCTACCAACGCACGAAGCACTTCTCGCAGAACCGCCTCTCTACCGAACTATACTCCGACAGAAGTTAAACCTAATAATCGCCACCATTGGCGCAACCTACTTACCTCCGAAACACTTGCTAACGAATTTGTCTCATACCTGAAATTCCTAGGCTCCGAAACAACTCGCACCCGACCCACCACCAGCCCAATCACACCGCTATTTTCAGCCTTGTTTTGTGGCGCGCGACAGCCAACATCACCGCGCTCGAAAGCTCTATGTACCGAAATCTTCACCACTACGCGGTAAACCGTGCTCTATGGAGCTGTACGGCTTGGGAAGTGTAGCTCTTTGGACGCTAGGAGCTCACATTTTATTCTCATCCTAACTTGGGATTCTCAAGTGACTCACTGTAACTGAATATCTCATCGCATTTGATGTGTTTCACGTTAGTTCATTATTCTCAATGTCTTTTCATCACTCAGCCTCACCGCGACAGGTAGTACGGTACGGGAGAAGTCGCTGCTGGTCAGTCCAAAATTCGGACTCCATATGCGAATTGCATAATGCAATACAAACTGTTGTGTGACTGACGGAACCCTTCTGCTCTGTAGACTACCATGGAATAGATAGCTTACCATTGCGGGTGCTTCAGCCTCTGGTTTACGGGACCAGCAACTCATTCTGCTAATCTTTGCACCACCTTCTGAAATTCGTCGTATTATTCGATGTATCATCCATTGTATCATTTTCCGCGGAGCCTCCGAACCTCAGCCTCGCATATCCTTCCTCCATGCAGCAGTATTGTAGTTTTTGTCTTCATCCCTCGGTCTATCCGAATGCAGCTCATGGACCGCAAGGAGCTTCACATCTTGCCGCACTTCGGCGAGGACATCGATTTAGCCTACGGAGGATTCGTGTTCAAGGAGGATACTCCTGGCCGATCTCCTCCGGGCACAACTTACTGGGCCTGTTCTAGGGTACAGCGAGCGACTCGTACCGAGTCCGCGCTCTACTGTCCGGCTCGTCTCACCGTGTATGACGACATCAGTGGTGACGAAAACCAGCTGCTGCTGCTAAAGGCTCCCAAACCTCACGTATGTGGCGAAGAGAATGCGGAGGGTCACAGGTTAAGGATGCGAATGGACCGTCTTGTATGTTCCGGTGCTCTGGGGCCGAGAGGCGCGGCTGCCGATGTCTACGATGAGTTCACCGTTCAAGCGGCACAGGAGGTTCTGAGCCAGTTACCCTCGAGAGAGACTTGCCTTGAACATAGAAGGCGGGCTATGCAGCGGAATAGCCCGCGGCCTCCTGTACCGTGTTGCCTCTATGGTTTCGACATCCCCCCCCAAGTACACGCGAGCTGCGTTCAGGTCTGAGTCCGGAGGAGCTGTCTCCGATGAGCAGATACTGCAATTCAATCCGGTCGTGACGATACCAATCGTCACCTCATCTTCACCTCCAGGAGCCACATCGAGATGATTGCTCGGCGTCAGAATGGACTCCACCTTTCTGTCGATGGTACCTTCGCGGCTTGCTGCCCTCTCTGGGAGCAGCAATACGGCGTCTTGGTCAAGCACAAGGACTGCCTCGTCATGTCGCCTTGTGCGTTGATCCTCATGCCGAGTCGGAAGAAATCGGTATACGACCTCGTGTTCAACGACCTTCTGCAGCTCTTCACCAGCATTAAGATCACCAGCTGCACCGCAGATTCCGAAGAGCGCACGGCGCGCTCTTTTAGAGAGGTTCTCAACTCAAGACAGGATCTGGTCGCTGAGTTCAAGATGAGTCTGTCCTTCTTCCACTTCGATAAGTGAGTAGTTCCCTCGCATGCTC